TATTTATTATTCTTTGAAAGACAACATTTCCGTATGGATGATGAAATTCGTGAAAGGGAAATTCAATTTGACATTCATTATACCTTTTTTTGCAATTTTTAATTTTATTAATTCTATTAATTTTATTTTTAATTCTACTCATGCGTTTGGCTGCGCCTATGTACTACAAGTCCCATTTTAGTCTAATTCACTGTGGGGGAATGAGGATGTAACGTTATACAATAGTAATTGTCCGCAGATAGTTTCTAAATTTGTACTAGTTACACGATGAATCTTTGATCATCCAAAAAAAATTTTTTTTAGCAACATAAAAATAAAAATGAAGGATAATAAATCACTACTTCAACCTTCATCATTGGTGCCACCAATAAGACCTGAATTGATAAAATCACTTATTGATGGAGTTGATCGATATAATCCTGATAACGTATCAATATTAGAAGAGTATTTGATTACTCAGATGCAAACAGGAGAATATGACTTGATGGCTAATTTAGCAATATTAAAGTTGTAAGTATTTTATACTGATATATGTTTATATTTATATGTGAGAAAATGATGATTAGTTTATGTTGAGCTCATATTGCTATTAAAAAAAATAATGAGACGTATGATAATAATTAACTTGCCCTCTCTGATCCATCACGTATTTTAATACATATAATTTATTTATTTATTTATAGAGTAATTGTAATTAATTAATTATTCTTTTTTAATTTTTTAAAAAAAATAATATGATAAAGATATCAGTTTAATCTACATTTAGTCAACGATCAAGTTATTGTTAATATATTGGTTAAAGCCCTTACCGCCATACCAAATCCAGATTTTAACCTATGTTTATATTTATTACAAGAGAGCTCTGTATCCTTTTTATTCTTCTTCCAACAAAAATTAATAATTAATTAATAGTTTGGATATTATTTTCTTAAAATTATGACCAAAAACTTTTTTTGATAGTTGTCAGATGAAAATATAAGCAAATTGTATGATGCACAAAAATTAATAGAAGAAGGAAAATACCAGGAATTTTGGAAAATGTATGAAACGGATGAGTCATTTAAAGAACTTACTAGCGAAGCTGTGGGTTTTGAAGATGCAATACGTAAAGGTAATTAATTAACATAATAATTGAAATTATAAATTTTTTTTCTGTTCAGAAAATCTCAATTCTCCAAAAAAAATTTTATCATCATTAATAACAGTAATCATGAAAATTATTTCGATGGCATATCAAAATATTTCGGCTGATTTATTACGAGAATATTTAAATTATGGATCATCTCCAAATGGTTTGCGTCTAAATCTTATTCTATTAATTAATTAATTATTTATTTATTTATTTAATTAATTATTCTTTAATTGTTTGATTTGAAATTAGATGATGAAAGTTTCAAAGAATTTATAAAATCACAAGGTTTAGAACTTGCTGAAAATAATTTAGTAAATATTCCAACGAATATTGATAATGAAGCAAAACCTACTGTTATCAGAGAGAATATTAAATTTGATCGTAAAGTATCATCATACTTGTAATTTGGCTTGTTAAGAGAAGAAGAATTATTTTTTTTTGCTAACAACTCTTCTTCTCTTTTTACCAATTGTAGAGCTTACAAAAATTATCGGATATTCAAACGAATTATAAAATGAAATTTATCTATTTATTAATTAATTATTTATTAATTAACAGTAAGATACAACGGAAATTGCCTATCTTGGGGAAAAACTGTATATTTCAAGAATGGTCATCAATAATAAAAACATCAAAAATATTAAAAATTCTTACAAAAAAGGATTTTGCTGTTTTACGAAAGTATTCAATGAATCAATATTTCAACGAATCAATGATGCTGAATGCTGATTACTGAGTAGCTGAGAATCTACTTTTTTAAAACATAATTTTTGGGAAAGCGTGAGGTTAAAATTTCAAAGGTGTTTGTTATTGAAAATGTTTTTTGAATGTCTGGGTATTGATTCATGAAAATTATCATCGTCTTTAAAAAAGATTAAAGGTGAACTCGAATTCAACCATGTAAACTATTGCTATTACCCATGTCAATGTTGTGGATTAGATGATCTGCCTTTTGTTGCTGTGTTCAACCAAACCAAGTAAAACTGGGGTTTGAAATTGTACTTTGAAAATCCGGTTTTTCCAATTTGCTCTTAAAAATCTCTCAAATTTAATAATAATAAATACTATTTCTCACTGTTACTACTATTATTCTTTTTTTTCTTTTGCGCACACACTAATGCTAACGCTGATCCATTTGTTGTCCAAAAGAAGTTTTTAATGAAAGTAATGATGTTAACGTTAATTGTATGTAAATGCATGTTAATAATGTTATTGTTGGCTCATGTATGCTCACTCTAACATATGTTCACATAATATCTGTTTTTAAAAGTTTTTTCCATATCCGGTTTAAAGCAAATTGTGGCTTATCGTTATTTTTGAGCCTGTGTAATTTTTTCTGAAATTTATTCTCCAAAAATTTATTGCTTACCCACTACTGTCTTATTTTTATTTACTTGTCATTATGAGCTCCATGTTAATCACTTTCTTATTCATTAAAAACATTAAAATAAACAACAAAACAATAGAAGGAAGTGGTGTGTACCTCGAAGATGACAAACTAAAACAGATAATGTTCAAGGGATTCATGGGTCCAGATTCGTTGGTATCAGAATTTGACAAAGATACAATCATTCAAACAACTGGAAGGTTCATAGTGGAAAATGGCAAGGAATACATGTGTATAAAACAAACAATATTGATGTTAATAAATAAAAAATTGTAAGACTCTGTTGAGTGTTATAGACGAGTACGCTAGACTTGAGACGATTAATCAAAATGGTTGAAACAAATTGTAATGAAAAAGATCTTAGTTTTTTATCTTTGATCCATCCCTGAAAATGAGCGATCGCTGTTTAAAACACCGTGTTCTTTCTTTCTTCTCTGTTGTTTGCCAATTGTTGTTTTCTCGGTCATTCAGTCAGTCATTTTCATTTACTTTTCATTTTATTTTATTTTTTTATTATGTATATACATACAATAAAAAAAATTAAAAAAAATTAATACTTTAAAATTTATCAATCTGATCTGTGACGCACAGCTCATTCATGATCACTAAATCAACTTTCTTGTTACTGTAATCAAGTGATTAATTAATTAATTTTCCCTTGATCTATTAACAAATAAACATTTGTTCATACATTCAAAAGGATTGAATGTTTATCAATTTCTTTTTAAAATTTTGAGCGTCGTGACTTTTTTTTAGACTAGAATAAAAACTTGTTGCGAATTAAATGAATTATGTCTGGAATCTACCCTTAAAATGGAGAACAAATCATCTACATATAATAAACTCACTATACTAGATTTTCAAAAAGGCATTTATCTACGCACCTTAAAGCCTGAAAATCCTGCCTCTTGATACGTGCGGATGATGCCTAATCTCCAATCGACATAACGTCAGGACCACCACTGTCACAAAAGACATAGGCTTTTCCTTGGATGAAAGCGAGCTAGTCATCGTAGGTGCTTTAACTCTATGTTGTACAATAAATACCATGGATCCAATATTGTATCTGCATCAGCATATGTGAGATGGACGTCTTCCCTTGTGGAATAATTTGAGTATTGATATTGGATAAGGAACTCACAATGATTTCATCCTATCCAAGATACGCGTTAACACTGTTTGAACCGCTTGATAATCCAGACATGCAGAACTTGCTATGGATTTACACTACTACATCTGTTCAGTTGAACAACGAACTTAACAAATCCTTATGTTATTTGACGAAATATTACCAAAGTTGTAAAACTATTACGTCAAATTCGCTGTCATTAAGTCGAAATGACGCAAATAAATTGTTTTAAGGCTAATAAAATATAAAAACTCAGAGAAAAAATTGTAGATATATATTCCAAGGTCTTTTTTTTTTTATATTTTCTTGTATAGATTTAATTTCCTTCTAATCAAAACTCACCTTCTTTCTTCTACCTCGTTTTGTATAGATTTATCGCGCAAACTTAACAT